GCTGAACTGGACACATTGAGTGAAGAAAGCTACAAGGACTCAACACTCATCATGCAGTTGTTACGTGATAACCTGACACTATGGACTTCAGATATGCAGGGAGATGGTAAGACACATCATCTTTCTTGCAGTTTCAGATGCTAAGCTTGACAAACATGTCTTTGAACCCCATTGGTACATGAAGGTGACATCCTCAAAAGCTCCTCCACAAACCAAATCTATTTTTAGAGCGATTGTTTCAGAGTGTCCCGATTTAGGACTTGTAAGGCATCTCTAATATCTACCTCTAAAAGAAGAGTTAAAATGAAGGCGCCTGGCTACTTTGAAAGTAAAATTGTTCAAGCAAACATGCCTAGGTATGATTAAAAAAATATTTTATTTAAATTCATCCCCCAGAATTTCTTTTTCTCAGTATAGTGTAGTGGTTTTTAATGTTATTGCATAAACCTTTTATATATGTAATGTGCATCCAAGATATTCATTCCTACCCCAGAAATAAGACCGAAAGCTGTATTTTTTTGAATAGCTTTTAAACCATTTTGATGTTCCTCTATTGTTTTCAAAAGTATATCCTGACCTAGTGCGCATCACTGCATTTCTTTGCAAAACCAGCAGTCTAATCTTTCTCTACTACATTTCATGTCATCTTGTAATGTGTCCAACCTCATGCCGTCCAACTTAACCCATCTTGCCTTTTTTCATCCCCACTATTTAGATTCCTAAAGGAAAATGTTAAATGCCCACAAACTTTATTTGTAAGTGAGGCCACTTTTTCCAGCACTTGCCTTTTTGTCCACAAATTGCATCATCACTCACCCGTTTGTAAGCTTTGTGTTGCTATCTTTGTAGCCACAAGAGTGCTATATGTGCAGCATGTCTGAAACAAACCGTTTCTGCATGATCACTGCCAGATCCTCTGTCCAATTGGAATGGCTGTGTTGTACCAATATATTCGAATTTGAGAGATTCTGGTATGTTTTCCTAAGAAATGTACAGTACGGGTCTCTAAAGGTCTTATCCTTTGGTTTGGGAACTGAATTAGGTGTGACAATTAAATGACCGTATGAGATAACACTGCATTCAAATTAGACTTAAGCCAATTTTTTTATTTTATTTTTTGAGCTTGAAAATGACAAATTCTATTTTTGTAACACTATAGATCAATTTTATTTTTCTCACAGCATGTATTTAGTCCTTCACTATTGATTATTTTTATTTTTTGCTTTTTATAGCATTTTATTTGGCAAACTCCTACTGCACAGTATCTTGCAAGGGTTGCAAACTTGATGATGTGCGAAAATGCACAACGCATCACACGTGGATTTCTTTAAGGGACACACAATTGTGGTGCAATGCAATAACAATGGCTTTGTTTCTCTGTGCACAGGTGAGGAACAGAATAAAGAGGCGCTGCAAGATGTGGAGGACGAAAACCAATGAGACAACACAGCCAATATGAGACTCCACCCCACTCCCCCTCCCCCTCCCCAGACCCCACTCACAAAGGGAGCAACCGAGCCCAACCTTATAAGTGGCACTCAACAGCTTGATGCCTCCAGTTTTCTCTCCCTTTGTTTGATTTTTAATATTATTCTGTTTTATTAGCCCTTAAATTGAAATAAAATATACCACTCATGAAACAAACTTCAATTATGATTTTTGAATGGTCAGAACTTAAGATTTCTTGGAGTTTTTTTTTTTTTTTTTTTTTTTTTTTTTTTGTCCTGGTACAACATTTTTCCTTTTTTTTTATGTTTATTTGCTTTATTTCTCAACATTTTTATCAGTTGCTGGATATATTTTGAGTTTTTCTTAATGTAATTACAGAAATTAACTTTTATTACTATTACTGATATGTCTACTATTAGTGGTTTGAGCTGTAATATTTCTGTGTTAGTGCAATTATATGATGCAGTTAAAGAAAACAATTAAAACTTTAAAAGGGCAAGTCTAAACAAAGTGCTCTTTTTGTTAATTTAGTTTTTCAGAGAAAGTCGAAGCAAATTTCTTGATATCCATGTGGAGCAAAATGCTTAACATCACCAAGTAGTAGTTATGTAGTAACATTTACCAGTGGTCTGGACTGTAATTTGTGCTAAAATACTGTATTGCTCACATAGGCTGATGATGGTGGGTGGATGGCTGCAGCTCTATACAACTGAAGGAGCCTTGTTGCTTTTAGAACTAAGACAAATGCAGGTCTCCATTTGGCTGTCTCAAAAAGAAAAAGAAAAAAAGCACTAATAAAGTTGATTTTAAGCCTGCATGAGTACATGAAATAGTCTATTTTTCTTCTCCCCCCTTGAATCTGCATAATGCATATAATTTCTTCTGTACTTTGTTAACTTGAAACTAGTTTGTACTACTGGATATCTGACTGGAACCACAGACTTAGAATCTGTATTACAACGAAACAGCATGGAATTAACAATTAACTTAAATAAAACTGCCTCAAGTAAAATATTTAACCACCTCTTTTGCACTCAAAATGTTTTCCTTTCTCATTTATCTCTACATTTTATGTGTTTTTCCTTCAACATGAAGCAAAATCCTATCTTTGGTTGGTAGTGAAACATTTACCCTGCAAAGTTGGAGAAATTTATAATGTTTTATGAAGTGAATTTTTCTGCTTTGGTCTTTCAGGAGGAAGACATTTATTTGAATTTGGAAAAAGAAGTTGGACTGTATATATGCATTGTATATTGTGTGTATTCATTCAGATTCTGCACATATCGGAACATTCAAAGAAAGTATTTAGTGCACCAAGATTGTAACCTTCCATCTCCGTGCAGGTTCACAGGAATGTTGTTCAGGGTCCTGTGATGAGATGGCCCTCTATCGCAATGGTTCTCAAACGGGGTCTTAACCCCTTAACTGTCACCGTCCCGCTACCGGGACGCCTAACTTTACTTCACTATATTTCTATTAAATCCTAATCTAATTATGACAAATTATATATCGTTGGAAAGGTCAAAGACTTCTAAATAGATATTCTACCCCTGTTTTGTGTTACAAATTATGTAGGAAGAGTAATTGATGAATTTATGACAAGAGTGCACCTCAAAAAATCTGCATCATAATAGGAGGTCTGACCTTTGTCACAAAAAGTCGATGCACCCACTTTTAATGATTGAAACTTCTGTTTTTATGCTAAAAGTTCATAATAAAACATATAATCTAGTATTTTTCAATAAAAAATTATAATATAATATTATCCTCTAAAAATTATAATATATATATTATCCTCTAAAATATAATATTATTTTTTTATCGCCTTTTTTATTATATCACAGTTATCATAAATTAGGTATCATTTGAAAGCTTATAAACTCAGAATTCATCCTGTGAAAACCGTTTTATAATTGAACGTTGCGTTACCATAGAAACGGTACTCTAAATTATTTTATCAGGCTCCTCCCCTTTTAGGCATCATTATATTTCATAATTTATGATCAAAACCTTTTCTAATCTTGACAAAACACATATTGTCAGAAAGGTCTGTGTCTCAAGGTTCCAAATTTTGTGACAGAATTGATATTTGGACAGAAATGTATTAATTTGTTAAGGCAGAATGTATACAACTAAATTTAATGGAATTCAATGGCACCCGGTGGCTATTTTTGGTACTACGCCTAAACAAAATCTCATGGGAACTTCAATTTTTGTGATATCAACTTCAAATTTGGAACATAACTTGGTTAGATTTATGGCTTTGATTTTATAGTAATTTTAGACTAAAAAATATTTTGTAAAATATATATTATATAAAATAAAAAAATATATAGTACAGTATATTTGATTTACTGTAAATTTAAACTTCCATAACTTTTTCATACTTTAATTTTTTGAAGTGTTCTCACTTCAGCAATAATCTGCTGAGTGTTTTCTTTAAAACAAGACCAAACTTGGGTATATATTCCAAAGCATTCTTGAATTACAACCATTTAAGTTTGAATAGTGCATTTTAACCCCCATTCTCAAAAAGGGGGGTGACAGCTAAGGGGTTAAGATGATTTAAAATAATCAAGATATTTAATTTACCCCCTTTTTCCTTTTCCTTTTCTTTTGAAGAACCAGAGTTACCACAGTTTTGGAAAACCTGGCTATATGAAGTATAGCCTAATTTTAAAAGTCTGATTTCTAGACCTGGAAAAGTCTTAAAGCGGCATGGGAGTTTGTATAACGGATATTTAATTTTTATTATTTAAAAAGTGTAGGGTGCCCGAGTAATATACAGCTCTTAAAACTTCTGGAAGAAGGTATTTAGCTACATGACTATGTATTATTTTAGCTACTTGTTTTAATCTAAACTCGTAGTATTAAAAACAAAGGTTTGGGAACCTCAGTTGTATCTATTTCAATCTAACGTTACTGCCATAAGGATGGCAAAGCTGCTTGTTTTCAATCTTTTTTATTATTATTATTTATCAAAACTAGAAGAGTAAAAACAAAAAGAATTGATTTTGATATTCCACAAATCTGTACTTCAATAAAAACTAGTTGTTAAGAGAAGAAATTAAAGTAAGATTAAATACATCAGTATAAATGTCAGTTTAATTTTTTAATTTGTATTAGTATGTTACCTTTTCAGAACTGCTAGGTTACATATTTTAACCCAAATGAGCCATAAAGCCTTGTTGTCTCAGGTTTCAGGTCTTGAAGAATTTTTAAATGTTTTTCACTGATCTAAAAAGGCCTCTGTCTTTTTGAAAGAGAACAGTCACAGTTGTTGCCGTTAAAACATTAATAACTCCACAATTATCTATTTTACACAAACATAACAAACTAGTCCATGGTGACCATTGGTTGGTTCACTTGATAGACCATCAATAAAACCAACGACTATTCTGTAATTAAAATAGTTAAATACAGACATCGGCATGTTCTCATTTACAGCCGAACGGCAGAAATCGGTTAGAAAATCTGTAGTCGTGACTTTTATTTTGAAACAACTCCGGCTGTCATGGAAACTCCGCCCTTTGTTAAAGCATTAGCAGGAAGTGCCTACCAAAAATACCCCGACGTCAGGCTAAAGAAAGAACCTGGCTCCGGGCGGACAAATTTATAGGATTTCATGTATACGTCAAGGTGCCTTCGGAAACATGTCGGGACAGAGGGTAAACAACTTGTGTTCATCGCATAAACTCCCGCTGTTGGTTTTATCTCTGCTTGTTGTTTATATCAGCTCCATCAACTCAGCTCCTCTCGGCGAGCAGGAGGCAGAGACTTACAACAAATACTATAATTACACCGAACTTACTGACCTTCTTAAAAGTCTCGCCCAGAGATACGCAAACATCGCAAATCTGACCAGCATCGGCAAATCAGTGGAGAACAGGGAGCTTTGGGTAATGAGAATCACCAAGGACCCCACTCTTGATGTAACGTTACCAGGAAAACCCAAATTCAAGTACGTGGGCAACATGCACGGAGACGAGACCGTGTCCCGGCAGGTCCTGATCTACTTACTGGAGTATCTGCTGGAGAAGTACGGAGAAGATCAGCGGGTCACAGAGCTGCTCAACACCACCGATATTTATATCATGCCGAGCATGAACCCTGATGGATTTGAGAAGTCTATTGAGGGGGATTGTACGGGAACAGATGAGGGTCGGTATAATGCTAAAAACATCGACCTCAATAGAAGTTTCCCAGACCAGTTTGAAGAGGTACACGTGAAAGCAGAAGACATCCCTGAAGGCGCTGCTGTCATGAAGTGGATCCTGGAGAACAAGTAAGACCATTCACAAACTGAACCCAACTTTCTGACAGAAGAACTGCTAGAAAATCCATCTTAAAGACCATCTTAAACCAATTAAAAAACCTTCTGCCCTTTTCCAAAACACAGCTAAGTTACCATGCTATATTTCCCAACAGGTGTTGCAGGAATCTTGAGTACTTTGCCTGCAAAATCTAGCAAATTATTAAAATCTAAATAAATGTACGTTTTTCCAATTCAGCTCAGCTCTACAATATTTCACTTTTCTGAATCATAGTAATGATTTTACTTTACAATACATTTACTAAAAATGAGTATTACACATGTTACATTATTTAATAATATTTCTTAATGTTAGTAATAACAATACAAATGTCCATTATTAGTTCACATTAGCGCGAGTCCATTAAATAGTATTAACAGAAACGACTTTTGATTTTAATAATGTTTTAAATGTTGAAATTAACATTAACTAAGACTAAGTGTTTTTTCATTGTCAATGAAGTTATCCAATGTTAACAAATTAAAACTTATTGTAAATTATAACCATAATAATAACAATAATAGTATTATTATTATTCAGAAAAATGAAATATTATAGAGCTGAATTAGATAAGATCTATATTCATTAAGATGACTTTATAGAGATTGCACTTACAATAATAATGACTATCTTTATGTAGTCCAGCAATCACAAACAACTTATTCATGTATTACTATTTTTTTGTTGTACGTTTTTTACGTGTAATCTCTATAAATATACTTTGTTCTAATTCAGCTGTACAATTTTTTTTTTTTACTTTTTGAATAATAATTGAATTATTATTATTATTATTAATCTTTGTATGTCTGTTATGTCTTAATCCAGTGTATGTGAAGTAGATGTTAAATTGTTAATTATAACTCATTTTCTAGATTTGTGCTCTCTGGCAATCTGCATGGTGGGACAGTGGTGGCAAGTTATCCTTATGATGACTCTGCTGGTCATGAGACAGAGGGCACCTATAGCAGATCGCCCGATGATGCTCTCTTCAGTTACTTGGCCCGGGTTTACGCAGAGAATAACCCTGTTATGAAAACTGGGGAGCCGAAGTGTGAAGAGAACTTAAGTGAGACCTTCAAGGATGGCATCACAAATGGAGCAAAGTGGTATGATGTGGCAGGTATGTTAGCAACACTTATTCCCTATCCATGCTTTAATTCTCCCCCCTTTCCTTTGTTTTGTCCATCCGCTGAGTTATAGCTTCATGAGTAATTAACTTCATTTCAGTGGTCTTGAAAAATGACTGGTTTGAATGATTTCTTTTCTGTTTCTTGCTCCTCAGAGAACATAAGTAGGGGGGGTGGGGGGTAATTTCTCGTAGTCTGTGTTAAATTCAGTGGAACAGTCTTTATTTGGCTCCACCCACATCCTTCTTTACTCAAAACATTCCGTTGCATATTTCCTATTGGGAAGTATGATAATGAGTTAGTAAACAAACGCCATTTGGTCACATATTTCAAATATTGACATAGTAATGGTAGCTGCATTATTGTTTAAGATTGAGGAATGCTGGAGACGATATTTCTTTGTTTTTTGGGAGGGGGGATATTTATAATGTTCTCAAACAGCACTAGTAAGTAACACAATAGTCTAGCAAGTAATCCAAAACCTGGACTGTAAGTGTACTGTTGTGGTGTTCTCTGATTACTTTCCTTACAAGTCTGTAACCTCAGTCTCTGCAGTCCATATTCTCAACCATCACTGTCAAACAGAAGAAATCTGATCCACAATGTTCCTTGAAGCTTGCAGATCAGATCCATGATGTACCTTAAGACTTGCTCAACCAGTCTAATGGTGATTAAATCACACTTCTTGCATTTGGATGTTATTCCCTCAGCTTTTATAAAGCAGTGGCATTTTGTTTGGTGCTGTTTACGAAGGGAGTACCTCCTGTGTGAACCCCTAATCTCTCCCGAATGTCTGGACCGAAAGTCATCATGTGAGGTGGTGACAGAAATTGCCGACCATTAAAACCACCCGAAATTACAACATAATAGATCCCAAAATTAAATATGACGCCCTTTTTGGCATTACATTTCATACATTGCATAATTCCTATGCAAATGTCACCTGTGAGATGTGTGTTGTTGACCTTATAACGTTTACTGGTGCATTTGACAGGGAGGTTAGGTCATAAGGTGATCATAAGACCAGTGTTATTTTAGTATTATGTGTAGTATTTGTTCATATTTTGAATTTGGTTTTATATTTTTAATTTTAATTTTAATTTTATGTGCTTTTGTCATTTTTCTTATTTTATATATTTCTATTTAGCTTTAATTATTTACATTTAAGTAATTTACCTTTAACCTATTTTATTTTGTTTTCAAGGCGATATCATTTTTTTAAATAAATAAAAAAAGCTTTTTCACGTTTAAGTTTTTCCATCTAATATTTATATTTTATTTCAATAAAAGAAAACTTTTTTTTTAAATCGTATTACTTAATAACACTGCATAAGTTATGTGAGTGTAGAATGCTTCAAATTGGTTTTCCTCATTAAGTTTTTTTATTTGTGTGTATGTTATTTATTTATTTTTGTCTTTTTGTTTTCTCTTTGCTTAGAAACTGGTATTCTACCATAGAAACCAGTCTCAAAGTCTGTTCAATGACCTGAATCCTGTTTCTGAGATTGTACCCAACACATTTTGAAGATCTACAGACCACCAGCTGCGCTTTTAAAGTTAATATTCAATCATTTTATGACAAACTCCAGCTTTAGGCAGTCATTCCTACTGTATGTTCGTCTCAGGGTCCTATGTTCCTCAGATTTAAATTGCAATTAATGAACACATGACAAATGGTCTTATGTTCCCAGGGTTAGGGTTAGGGCAACATAAACATAAGGTTAGCCCTAGGAACATAAGATGCTTTGAACATAGGACCCTGGCAACATTAATACGCTGTCTACACTCCGTTTTGGCAGCCCAGAGTGAAGTATAGTTTAATAAGAAAGTTTAACCTATTCTTTTCTTAGTTGTATTAACAAATAATCATGTGTTAAAACAGGATCTTTTCTGGGACTAATCAGGATGCCCTCACATATGTTTGTTTTCTGTCTAACTGTTGAAGTCAGAATAACTGTTAATAAGGATGTATGTTGACAAACAGAGGAACTGGGCTTCTGACACCTTTAAAAACATACTAGACTGGTAGCATACAGTGTCACATATTATAGAAAGACAGAAAACATGGGGCAGAGACATTTGACCTCACATACCTATGATTACAAGAGTCATTTGACTTGTTAGGTAATGTTAGGCTTGCTCTAGACTGCACGAATTAGCCGGACTAACTTGAACAGTTTCAGTTGTTGTTATCTTCGTGAAAGACTAGTGTTGCGAGCAATTGTGGAATTTTTGGTCTGTCCTCTGAATTTGCACGACTGGAAATAGCTGCCCAGGACATTGCCATGATTGGCAAGTGGACTGTCTTTTTACTTTGAAATTACATTGCTTGAACTTGGCTTTATCTCTTACTATTGCATTTTTATTGACCGTCTGAGAAAGTCAATTCTGCAAAGAGCAGAAGTCCACGTCTTTCACAATCAAGACTTTTTTAGCTGTTAAAAAATACATGCAGCAGATATATCTGCGTAGTGCTTATTGCCATCTCGAGTTGCCATTAGTTTGTCCTGTTTCAGCGGATTTTGTTGAATTTTGATGGTTTGATCTGCTCCTTTAGTGAGAGATTACAGATGATGTGCTTCCTCTGATCCTTATTTCCTCGCGCTCTGTGTGATTCATAGAAACGATTCTTCATTTATAGGCTGCTCTTACATTTCTACATTTAGCAGATGCTTTTATCCACAGCGACAGTGCTTTAATGTTGTATGTTTTATCCCTGGGAATTGAACCCATAACCTTGGTGTTGCCAGTGCCATGGAACCATTTAAAGTACATGAATCTGCCACATTAAATTGATCAAAAGTGACAGTAAAGACATTCATAATGTTACAAAATAATTATATTTTAAATATATGGTGTCCTTTTTCTATTAATCAAAGAATCTTGAAATAAGTATCACGGTTTCCACAAAAATATTAATCAGCCCAACTGTTTTCAACATTGATAATAGTATGAATTTTTCTCTTGAGCAAATCAGCACATTAGAATGATTTCTGAAGAATCAAGTGACACTGAAGAATGAGTTACGATGCTTAAAATTCAGCTTTGCCATCACAGGGATAAATTACACTTTAAAATATATTAAAATAGAAAACATGTAAAAAATCTGCATTGGTTTGGTATCTGAAGGAGTCGTCAAACATTAGATGACAGCGTGTTCTACCTTAGACCAATATAACCTATGCGTTCTAACCCATATCTGTCAGCTCTTTATTCTCTGAAATCAATCACTTAAAATGGGTTGGAGCTTGTTGTTTTTTCAAGGATATAAAAGTAGGTTGGCTTACATGAATGATTTCCTACCCCCTACATTTATTACATGCTCCTAACATTAGCAACTGGCCAAACATTCTTGACATTACACCTTTTGAAAGACTCTTTGTATTGAAATGTTCCTCGTGTTTGCAGAAGTTTACAGTTTAAGCAGTGACAATCCCACAATGTCAATTCATCCCATGCCTTTGGTACACAATTTGTCCTTACTTTTCATTAGGGGGTATGCAGGATTACAATTACCTGAAGGGGAACTGTTTGGAAATCACTATGGAGCTCAGCTGCTGCAAGTACCCACCCTCATCTCAACTCAGAACAGAATGGGACAACAATCGGGAGGCCCTGCTGGCCTACATGGAGAAGGTAGGAGAATTTGAGGTGCTAACAACGACATGCATGGCGAGTTTTTTAATGAGCCCTACAAGAATGTCAGTGTGGCTTCGTTTTCAGAGTTTCTGCCTTGTTGTGTATGTGTTCAGATTCATATTGGAGTGCGTGGCTTTGTGAGAGCAGCCAGGAATGAAGCCCCTCTCGCAGATGCTGTGATAATGGTTGCAGGCATCAACCACAATGTGAGCACTGCACGCTTTGGTGACTACTATCGCCTGCTGCTGCCCGGCACCTACACCATCACAGCTGTAGCCCCGGGGTAAGTATGGAATATGATGGAGTGCATATTTATGAGGAAAACTGTACATATGCATTCAATATTCTGTGGAAAATCCCTTGATCAGTGGTCTGATGGCTAGGGCTGGGTAAAATTATAGAATTTTTGTTCTATTCTAGCATCTACATCCCAATATTGATATCTTAAAAAAATATATTTTACTCTGTGCTATTGTTCAGTTGCTGTGTGAAAATGTACAGCGTTGCCTGTCCTGCAGATATCACTGCTTTCTGCTGAACTGCAGAGTTTGGGCCCTGTTGTTAATTTTTATAAAATTAATATAAAAAATAATAGTTGCAGTCAACCAGTGTAGTCTAATCCAAAAATGACTTATATGAACAGATTCACACGCAAGTGACTCTTATGAGCTCATTCTTTTTAGTGAATCAAAAACAATCAGTGTAGTCCGATTCTCGAACAAATGACTCTTAAGAACCATATTTTTATTCTAGTGAACCAAAGCACGATCAATAGACCGTAGTCAGGTTAGATAGCAAATTGAATTTAACACAAATGAAAACAAGGCTGTGAGGGATAAATTTACAGTCACGCACAGTATAAAGGCCCTAGATCATTAAACTTTCAAAACTGTTTTATGGAGTTTTTGTTTACTGAAAGTTTTTTCAGAAAGATGTTTCATCAGCTGGACAATTGGTTTGTTAAACAACAGTACAATTCTTTGAACGCACTGTAATTCTGTCCCTCACAGCCTCGTTTTCATTCCTGTCCAAAATTAAATATGCTGCTGCCCTGACTAAGGTCTATATAGTCAAATTCACAGACAAATGACTCTTATGAGCTGGTTCTTTTTTTAGCAAATCAGAAACATTCATTGCAACCCGTGAAGCCAAAACAAATGTCCCTAGAAAGTCAGTACTTTTAATGAAACATTGCCTTGTAGAATTTACAGTATTAGCAGAAAGAGAATTTCCTTCACACATAAACAAAATGGACATTATAAAGTACATGAAATATACCCTAATCAATTGAGATAGAATTGAATCAGAATCAAATGGGAAAATCTGTATCAATCAATACCCAGTTCTTCTAATGGCTTTTATTTGTTATTTATTTCAACTAACAATATGCTCTGAGACTCCTTCAGGTTTAAGTGTTCTTTCTATGTGTTTTATGTCGATCTTTGTGTTTATGTAGCTACGTTCCCATGTCCGTGGCTGGGGTGGAGGTGAATGAGGGAAAAGCAACTGAGCTGAACATCACCCTCGTGGCTGAGACTGATGTGAATCTGACCACCCCCTCAATCCCAGAGTCCCCCACTGACACCTCTTCAGACAGCAGCAGCAGCAGCACCAGCAAAGCAGCAGCAGATGAAAAGCAGGGCTCCAGGGTTACGGTCCAGCCCCAGGACTTCCGCCATCATTACTACAACGACATGGAGCTGTTCCTACAGAAATTCAGCTCTGAGTACAGCTCCATCACACGGCTGTATTACATCGGCAAATCTGTGCAGGGGCGTCTCCTGTGGGTCATGGAGATCTCCAACAATCCTGGTGTCCATGAGTTAGGTACTTCCCACCAATTTTTATGTCATTTTAATTAGCACACATCTTTAGAAGTCAACCCGCTTCTAAAGTTAACTGACCCCCGTCTTTCCTTACCAGGTGAACCAGAGTTTAAGTATATTGGTAACATGCACGGCAATGAGGTGGTTGGTCGTGAATTGCTCCTCAACCTCATCGAGTACCTGTGTCGCAACTATGGCACTGACCCTGAGGTCACCCAGCTCGTCGACTCCACGCGTATCCACATCATGCCTTCAATGAACCCAGATGGATACGAAACGTCCCAAGAGGGTAAGGTCTTGTCAACTCTGAAAAACCCCTATTGAGGGAAATTTTCGCTATCCGTGTTTTCACTGTTATACCGTAGGGAGCGCTATGACAAATCTTCTGAAAGAGTACAGAATCTTTGAATCAAAACTGGCAAAATAGAAGCAGAAACAAGCGATCTCATATGTAAGCAGATGCATATGTAAAATAACGCGATCATCAACATTAAACAGCATATAAATTAAAACGGCCTAATGTTACTGAATAAAATGTCGACCTATAGGACTGTAAGGGGGTGTTGATGGACTTGATCTCCATCTATGTTTTGATCATCATTCTGAATCCGATCTGGATGTAGTTTTTGACAAGAATGCGATTTTCTCAGCTTTTTGCTCAAAATGTTGCTTTTTTTTTATTAAACTCAACCACATTCAAGTGATGATAAAAAAGCAGAGGCTCTGTTCTTTCTTTTGATATATGGCATGTTCAGATATTCAAATAAAACAATATTCTGGGGACCATGAAAAGTTTGTGAAAATGATCGAAAATGCTGGCAGTGGCCAAAAACACACACACTGGCAAGGAAAGAGTATTTTTTCATCATTCTATTTGTACCAATATTATAATATAAAGAAATGGTTAGCCTCAAACTGTTTGAATAATAATAATAAAGAATAATAATAAATATATTATTAATTTGATTATATATGTAATGTTTCTCCCAAACAGAAAAGACTGAAAATAATAGTGTTGTTTATTATTATTATTATTATTTGTTTCTGTCTGTGTGGAAGCAACATAATAACGATGAGAACAGAATGGCAACATGTTTTTAATAATAATATTATTATTAATAAGAATACATTTTATTTATTTATTTATGTAATGTTTGTAAAAAAAAATCTGTCTGTGGGAGCAACATCATAACTACGGGAACATAATGGCAACATGTTTCAATAATAATAAATAAATAATTTTTATTAGAATTAGATTTTTTTAATTTTTATTATTATACATTTTTTTCTCTCTGTGTTGGAGCAGCATAGTAACTGCAGGAAGATGGAACCATAACGAAAACATTCTCTTTTGTGCAGGAGATATCGATGGCATCCAGGGACGTAACAACTCTAACAACTATGACCTGAACCGTAACTTTCCTGACCGGTTCAACCTCATCACAGATCCCAGACAGCCAGAGACCATTGCTGTTATGAACTGGGCAAAGAGCTACCCGTTTGTGTTGTCTGCCAACCTTCATGGAGGTAGGTCCTAATTTATAATGGTTCTGTTTGATTGAAAGCATGCTAAACACAGACGGATAACCTCTAGATAAATCTCTATCAGGCTCTCTGGTGGTGAACTATCCATTTGACGATAATCTAGAAGATGTTGTCGGATACAGCAAGTCCTCAGATGATGCCGTGTTCAGGATGTTGGCTCTCGCTTACTCTCAGGTGAATACCTGGCTTTCTTTTTTTCTGTGAAATCAAATTACGTCGTTAAGAATATTTAATCATTAAAAGTTAAATCAATGGTCAGCAAAAAATTCTCTCTTTTTTTTCAGGAAAACGCTCAAATGCATGGCGGTCAGCCCTGTAAGGAGCTGCATCCGTACGAAGAATACTTTCAAGATGGCATCACCAATGGGGCTGCATGGTACAATGTCCACGGTGAGTACTAGATTGGGGGGGGGGGGGGGATTAATTACTAGAAAAGGAAAGTTCAAGACAAAATTTTGAATGTTGACATACTGACAGACACTTGACAAATGGACAGATGGCCTTTTGTTTGATATTTATTTATAGAAGAGGAATAACCCCTTGAGATGAACCATCTCGTTTTCGAGGGGGTCCTCAAATCCAGATACAGAAATTAACATTGACCTTACAACAGCAGTCAGATAAAACATAAAAAAAATAATTAAAAAAAAGCAAAAAACACATACACATGCACAAAAAACAAACAAAAAAACACTTTACAATAATGATAAATAGCTAAATATATAGACAAAACTCTCATTGTTGAAATTGACATCCTAAAATAATATCCAGAAAAAAGTTGTATAAAAGTGCTTTAATAAGAAGTAAATATAAATGTGCATTATGTGCTTTTCCCTCAGGAGGGATGCAGGATTGGAACTACGTCAACACTAACTGCTTTGAGGTGACCATTGAACTGGGTTGTTACAAATACCCACCAGCGACAGACCTGCCAAAGTACTGGGAACAAAACCGCAAATCACTTCTCCAGTTCATCCATCAGGTCAAACAGTCTGGCTGTTTCTTTCTCATATTTTGTTTTTCATCTCTATTCTGCCACACACCTTATACAATTATTTGTTGGATGTTCAGGTCCACCGTGGGATAAAAGGAATGGTAATCGACAGCAAAGATGAATCTGGCATCCCCAATGCGACCATCACTGTGGACCCGATCAATCACTCCATCACATCCAACATCGCAGGAGATTACTGGCGCTTACTCGTCCCAGGAAAATACCTTCTGAATGTCTCTGCCCAAGGGTACTTTCATGAATTTTCTGCACTAACTGTAGTACCAAACTAAAAGATAGCATTTTTTTCCAAACATATGGAAGCTTACAGAGGCCGTTAAATATGTTGTGATCTGCTTTTGTTTAGTGATAAACATATAAAAAACAAAAATATTTGTAACTATAATAGGGTAACTATATATTGACTTAAGGCACTTTTTGTAATGTATATTAAAGGTGCCCTAGAATGTGAAATTGAATTTATCTTGGCATAGTTAAATAACAAGAGTTCAGTACATGGACATGACATACAGTGAGTCTCAAACACCATTGTTTTCTCCTTCTTACTTAAATCTCGTTTTTGAAAAACACCCCTGAAAAATAGGCGAATCTCCACATAACACCGACTGTGACGCAACAGTCGGGATCATTAATATGTACGACTCCAAGAATTTGCATATGCCAGCCCATGTCCAATGCCAGGCGGAACTGCAGCCGAAGCATAGCAGTTGCTCAGTGTTTGAATGTACACATGAACACAAAAGTATTTTTTTGTTCACTCATCCGAGCCTCTGACGAAACAATGGCTTAATTTTATTTTCTCTGGAAATTTCCAAACATTTCACCGACGACTGTTTCCTCAACTTGGGCCAATACAGAGCTGGTCTCGGATCAATCGAGCTACCAAGCAACACTTTCTGATGTGTAATTGTTCAAGTTCAGACAGGTAATCTTTCTCAGGTAATCTTAGCCAGTGACTAAAATATCAACTTCACATCGTTTCTTTTAGTAGGATGAAAAAAACTTATTTAAATTGTTTGTGAATAAATGATATACAGAAAGCGATCAAAGAACAATCTTTCCACAGCGCGAGTTTATCTGGACACTTGCTAAACTCGTTATGAATTCAATGACGCACGTTACACTGCACAACCAAGCTCTTACTGTATTTACATGATCGTGTTTGCATTGGTGAAAGCATTAGAGAGAGTGCAGAAACTGCATTCCAATGATAAGATCTTCATGATAAGATCTTCATGCTCGCGATCAAGTGATCTGCTTGCTCAATGCTCAGTCATCACGGCAACATTGTATGTGATGGGACTAGATCTAAATACTTTAAAAACATCTCACGATTCGTTAATCTCGATAGCTGTAATAGTAAAAACGTATAATAGCTGTAGTAAAATTATTCGAGAGAGTTTCACATGTAATACATAGCTATTTCATATGCAAGCATGTCAGCCAATCACAGCAGAGGCCGGTTACACACAGCAGACACGCCCCTTCAAACAGAGCGTTCAAATCTGAGGCTAAAATCAGGCTAGGAAAAATGTCTTTTATTTCTAAATTATGACTATTTTTGATCTAAAAAACATACTAACATTATAAGGGCAACCCAGGAAACATTATAAAATAATATAGAAAACCATTCTAGGGCACCTTTAAAAGTTTTGCAACAATAATGTAATAGCTTTGAATTATTTTCATATATAGAGACTTTCTCAGCAAATGTTGATATGCAATTATTTACAATTATTTTAGATAAATAATCATTGTATTTATGTATGTTTTCACCTTATTTTTGTTATTTAATTTATTTAAATTGCTCTTTAACAGCCCTAAAAAGTTATTTAGCATCATGGGTATTTATTTAATATTTTCCTTTTTTGCATAAAGGCAGATTCACAGCGCACAGACAAACGCCAACAAACAAAATGAAAAATAACTGTCATGTTCACACTGCCCCAACAGACACTGACAAACTCTGATTGAACATGTTCAGTCAGGTGAAAAATACCCCAGACAGACGCCAACAGGGGTAACACACTGATCCGCCAAAACCAAACAAACGTGTTTGTTGGCGTTTGTCTGTGCGTTGTGAATTGGCCTTAAGACTGTAAATTACTGACATTCTCTCTTTCCATCCTTTTAGCTACTCCTCAGTTAGCACCTATGTCAACGTGCCTAAGGAAGGAGTGGAGATTGTTAATTTCACATTGACCCGGATTCACAGTTACACAACTGGACAGATGACAGAAGGCTCAACCCCAATTCTGGATCCCAGTGTGAAGGAGTTCCAGAGCCTCATCAAGCTGCTGTCAGGAGAATCCGGTCTAGACAAGCTGATCAAGGACACTCCCACCCAGAGCAGCTTCCGTTATCGACGGTACAGCGAAGTTTCCGAGTTCCTGCGCGGCCTCACCCTGAACTTCCCGGAGATTACCTCACTCTACAGGTACAGATCTCTTATGCATCTCACAGACACGTTGGATTCAGTGTTTACAAACTCCGTGATCATGAGGGACCTTAAACACAGAAGTTCTCTGGAGAGCTTTTATTTACACGTGTGCCATGCCTTTCCCTCAGAGAACACCTGTTAAATTGAGCAAAAGCATTAGTCAGTTTATCTGATCTCTGCACACATGCCTGAACTGAATCCTGTGTGTTTCTGTGACCATAAACCCCGAAGGGCGATTCTTTGGGAATGAGAGAGATTCATGTCTCTGCATTCAGTACACAATGAAGTTACTGTGTGAACTATAGCTTAGTCCCAGAAGTCATTTTTGAAAATTATAGTTTGTGCTGAACCAAGTTTAAGGTCACAAAGTTTAAATAATTGACCAGAGAAGAGGTAAGTACAGTACCGTTCAAATGTTTTGGGTCAGTCATTTTTATTTCTTTTTTTGTTTTTGTGAAAGAGATTAATACTTTTATTTAGCAATGATGCATTTAATAGATAAAAAAAAAAGTGACAGTAAAAACTTTCATGTTGTTACAAAAAAAAATTATATTTCAAATAAATTCTGTTCTTTTGAACTTTCATCTAAAAATCTATATTTCATGGTTTTCACCACAATAGTAAGCAGCACAACTGTTTTCAAAATTAATAATAAGTGTTTCTTAAGCACCGAATCAGCATATTAGAATGATTTCTGAAGGATCATGTGACAATGAAGACTGGAGTAATGATGCTGAAAATTCAGCTTAGTGTCACAAGAATAAAAAACATTTTAAAATATATTAAAATAGAAAACAGTTATTTAAAATTTTATATCTTGTTTTATTTCACAATATTACTGTTTTTACTGTATTTTCAATCAAATAAATGCAGCTTTGATGAGCATTAGAGACTTCTTTCAAAAACATTATAAAAGCTTACCAACCAGATACTTTTGAATGGCACTGTAGGTCCAATGGTAATTTCATTACTAGGACAACAACTGCTGGTCCAATTTCATGTCAGTTTATAATAGTTTATAATGGATTAAAACATTTAACTGAAGTAAAACATTTTGTTAAGTCAAACAATTGCAGTGATGTGATAAATGTTTTTCCCCCTATGAAGTCTTGGTCAGAGTGTGGAGTTCAGAACTATCTGGGCTCTGGAGATCTCCAACAACCCTAAAGTCCAAGAACCATCAGAGCCCAAGATCCGGTTTGTGGCAGGTATCCATGGTAACGCCCCAGTGGGCACAGAGCTGCTTCTGGAGTTTGCTGCCAGTCTCTGTATTAACTACGGCAAGAACGCGGCCATCACCAAGGTGAGTTGCTTTTCTTGTGCAAAAGTGATGCCCTTGATGGTCACAGTATGATCCTCCTAACCAGGGGTGTGTTTCGCAAAATTAACTATAGTCGCAAGTTCCATCACTACCAACGCAATTCAACGGAACTTGCATCCATAGTTGGCTAACGATACTTTTGGGAAACGTAAGGATGAAGGAAGCAGTTTAGGGTTGTCAAGTTTTATCAAAAGCTTGGAATGAGATCACATGCGGTAAGGGGAGGAGCCCTAATGGAGCCCCGCCCTCACCCCCCAATTTTACCCATTGTTCATAATTAACCAGCACAAATTGAAATTATAACAATTGGTAAATCTGATAAATGACAGAGAAATTCATCACATCAAATATACTCTTTAATATTATATTTCAAAATTACAAATACAAAAATTCCTAAAATATAACAAATTGCTCCAAACAGTTTGGAAAAACAAATCTTTTTGCATTTTGAATGCGTCTAGTTGAAATGGTATAATGATTTATTGTGTGGTGGGACATTGTGAAAAAATGGACATATTTGAGTATTAAGGTGTGTGTTTGTGTGTGTGTAACGTTACATAAATATCTTTTTGCTTTTTCCCTGACATCTTTGAAAAATACAAATGCAATGGCAATGATTAATGTATGTTTTGACAGGATATAAAATATTACACAGAGCACTCTGCTTTAATACATGTAGCCTTAATGTAATTAGAAAGACTATTAATACAGTATAATATATTATTTAAAATAAAATGAAGAAATACATCTTCATTCCTTCCCATACCCACTAACATTTCCCTTAGTTTCAGATAACGTAAGCTAGCCAAACTGAGCCAAAGCTTCTGGCCTGGTTTGCAAAGTAGTTGTAGAGTTTTTGACTGCATCAATAATAATGTATACGATGGGCTATATATTAATTGTTCTAGCCTAAAAATGAGCTTTCTTCCAACTTACCTTCTCAGTCACGACGTGTGTTCGCGCGATGTTGTTGGTTACCTAGTAACGAACGTACGGTGGCTGAGAATGTTCCGTCAACTTCCCTGTGTTTGCGCATCTATGTTGCCTAGTAACGAACGCAATATGGCCGAGATGGGTGCTGGCGGCAGGAAACTTCACTTTGTGTGCCTGCGCCTCGTATACAACGTTATATATAAAGCTTGCAGGACAACTTGGTTGGCATTGCCTTTTCAGCGTGAGAAATACACGATGTGGCGTGTGACCGTGTGAACTGGTTGAATTGCGTGTCTCACGGCCAATGCGTGAGACTTGAGAAGCATAAAACATAAAACGGCACTATTTAACAGTTTATGCAATAAGAAATGCTTTGGGTTACCTATCAAAGTTAAACTATCTATAAAAAATGTACTCTAAACAGCCTGCTGTATCATGTTTGATAAGCAAATCTCTAAGGCCTCTAAATTATCAATATGATAAAAATTCTGCTGAAAAACCTGTTGTACACAATCTGCTACATGCCTTTTATCGTCTGATTGGTCCTTCATACTTTTTAGCAAGTAAAAGGCCTTTTAGTATAATTCTAAAAGCATCCTGTAAAGTGTAAGAATATCTTGTATTTCATTTCATTATATGTTCTGACACCCATAATTAAAAACTTCAGAGCCATGATCATAAAACTAAGCATTTAAATATCATCTTACTAAGACGTATTATTGGGAGGTATAGAGTGAAAAGTCTACTGTTATAAAGATCTCATTCATTTGCATCACAAGCTATCAGAACTTCATCTTACTTTTTGGAAATATAAACTATATTTTTGCTGAATAAAATTGAGCTGTTTTCCCCGCTTCTTGAGTATGATCTCCATATTCTGTTATATCATACTATATGAGCCATAAAAGCCTGATGTATCACATATGATAACAAAAAAAAACCCACATATACCATGCTTATCATATAGACTTCTATTGTAAGTCTCATTTTAAGTAGATTTCACTCCAAGTACAAGTCAAATTCATTTTCTGTGCTTATTGACAGCATTAGTGTTATTGATTACCACAGAAAATGACTGTAAAAGCTTACCTTATTTGTCAATGAAATAATTTCAAGCCAAGTCAATTTTATTGAAACCAAACAGAATAATCATTTAAATGTAAGTACATGAAGGTTAATCTGTACCTCTGTCTTTAGCTCATAAATGAGACCAGAATTGTTATCCTGCCCAGCATCAACCCAGATGGACGTGAGCTGGCGAAAGAGAAAGACTGCACCTCCACTGTTGGCATGACCAATGTTCACGGCAAGGACCTTGACAGTGACTTCTTCGGTGGGATGGCATTCAAATGATACCTTACATTTCAATAATGTCTGTGTCAATGACAACGGTCCACTGCTTAGTCTACATGACGGCTGACTGTTTATGTGCCCTTCTGTAGGGAATGCTTCTCAGCGTGCTGCAGAGCCTCAGCCAGAGACGCGTGCTGTGATGAATCTGATTCAGGAAAGGGGCTTCTCTCTCTCTGTGGCTCTGGATGGAGGCTCTGTTTTGGTCACCTACCCATATGACAAACCAGTGCAATCTGGTATGTTTTGGCTCATCCTCTGCTTTATGAAATTACACATTTATTGCATCTGTGTTCTGATTCGTTTATTTCTTTGTTTTTTTCCCCCTTCCTTCTTAATTACAGTTGAAAATGATGATACGCTGAGATATTTGGCTACTGTGTATGCAAAAAACCATCCTACAATGCACTTGGGCAATACTGGATGTCCAAACAGCAGTCAACGTATGCTGATTTTCTTTCATACTTCAAGTTTTTAAAACAACGGTTTATCTCTTTAGTAACAAGAAAATGCTCAGTGAGCAATTTCAGAGCCTCTGCTCTGTTAAATTTATAGGTAGATGAACCATTTTTAGGTTGATGTTATAAATTATTTCTGTCTTTCTCCCTGTCTCCCCCAGTGAGCAACATTCCTGATGGTGTCCTTCGAGCAGCAGAGTGGCACAGTCACATGGGAAGCATGAAGGTAGTTTACAAACTGAACAGATCACTGAAACACGCATTAATACCGCTTATCAACTGGTTTTGCTTCAGAACCGAGCAATCTACTAAAACTTGATTATAAGAAATAAAAACTTCCTTTACAATATTAAAAGGTTTACATTTAAAATGTATTTATATTAGTATGAACACTTTTAACAATATGCAATTATTAACAATTATTAATATGAAATGTCAGCAGTCAATAATTCACCACATAAAACCTGTGGTCTTCACAAACCATAGTTGTCCTAGTTGCAAATTAATCTGTTTATTGTATTCTGGATTTCCTCTTACTTTGCGTAGACTACCATTCAAAACATTGGGGTTGGTAAGATTTTTTGTGATGTTTTTAAAAGTAGTATTGATCAAAACACAGTAAAAACTGTAATATAGTGAAATATTATTGCCATTCTTAATAAATGTTTTCTATTTCAAAATATTTTGATATGTAATTTAGTTCTGTGTTGGCAAATCAGTCATTACTCCAGTCTTCAGTGTTACATGATCCTTCAGAAATCATTCTAATATGCTGATTTGGTGCTCAAGAAACATTATTTATTATGCAGTTGTGCAGTTAAATTTTTGTGTGGAAATCATGACAGCTTTTTTTTAGGATTCTTTGATGAATATAAAGTTCTAAAAGAACCCACGCTTTTGAATGGTAGACCGGTTAAATTCTAAACAAAACTAAACTGTGTTCGTATCCGTCTAATATGGCTAGCTTCTACCAAGTGACACGAATGTGTGCAAGCACACCATAAAGTTTGGACACACAGATTTGGATGTCAAGAACAAAAGACAAGGGAAGCGTTTTGCTATTTTAAATGAATGTTTTGCATTTAGCATTGCTTTTTTCACTGCTCTCTGCGATCCAATCAGAACAGACCAGAACCCCATTTTTGGGTCATTACTAACTAGTTGACAATCATTTTTTAAATCTTAATTCCTCAGTAATTTCCCTGACTCTCTGATTACCTTCTTTCCATGTTGTAGGACTTCAGTGTGGACTTTGGTCACTGTCCTGAGATGACTGTCTACACCAGCTGCTGCCTGTTCCCACTGGCTGAAATGCTGCCCACGCTCTGGGCTGAGAACAGGAAGTCTCTTCTGAGCATGCTGGTTGAGGTCAGTCTGTTGTTGTCCTCTCTGCCTCTGTTCATCACCCTCCACTCAATCTCAGCTAGTCCTTGCTGAAGCTGGTTCTTCTGTTCTAGGTACACAAAGGGGTTCGTGGAGTGGTCAAGGATAAGAACGGTAAGCCCATCGTGGGTGCTATAATAGTATTGAATGGTGGTGTTCGAGTTTTCACCGGTGAGGGAGGATATTTCCACGCACTTCTGGCCCCTGGTTTACACAATATTGAAGCGGTGGCTGACGGCTACCAGCAGCAATCCCAGAAGGTGAGTGTTTGTTTTTGCTGTGTTGGTTTGTTTTTTTGTTTTCTTTTTGTTTGTTTTTTATGTTTGAGTTGTTGTTTTTTTGTTACACATTTTTTTTTTGTCTTCTTTTTTTTCTTTCTATTTTATGTATATTTATTATTCAGAATACATAGTTTAAAATAACCACACTCTATAATATACAATGCAGTATAATAATAAATTGTCTAATAATATACCATACATTTTATTTTATTATTATTATATATATATATATTTGTAATACAGAACATTTAGTTTAATTAAACAAAAATTTATAATAATATACAATTCAATGTAATGAAGAAGATGGTGTAATTAAAAATTCATTTTTATTGTCTAATAATATAATATACATTTTAAATGAGAAACGCTATCTATGCATACATTTTTTCACTGTACCTGTGGTCTTTTCAGGTGTCTGTGTCACCGTTTGAAGCTGCAAGTTCCATTATTATTGAATTTGACATGGAGAACGATATATTTGGCCTGCCAAGAGAATTAGTCGTGGCAAGTGCAGGTAGGCAGATCAAATCGCTCATGGCAAGAGGCCATTTTAAAAAAAAAAAGACTTTGTTAATATGCAAATTTTCAATGGCTGTCTTTTTCTTTACCCAATCCTACAGCTGCCGCAATGACGGCCCTGGTCGTGACAGCCTGCATCATCTGGTGCGTCTGCTCCGCAAAGTCGAACAGACAAAAGGACGGATTCCATCGGCTACGGCAGCACAGGGACGACTATGATGATGAGATCCGCCTCATGTCTATGGGCTCCAAAAAGTCTCTCCTGAGCCACGAATTTCAAGATGAGAGCGAAAGTGACGAGGATACGCTATACACCAACAAACTTTAAGACCTTCTCATCCTCTGAGTCTGTCCACTGCCTGCAGGGCCAGTAGAGGGCGCTCATGGCCAGCACCATTATTGTCCAAACCATCTAAATCCCGAGAACCACTGCGGGATGCACTTTAATGCCCAGATGAAATCGGGCAAGCGTTTCGCACTGTAGTGTATGCAACTGACCACTGCTCTTAACCAGCCTGCTTAGTTTTCTGGGTCTGTGTAATACTGGTCCTCTACCCTTTATAAAGGAAATCGAACAGCTAGAATCCATCTCAACAGGATTATGAAACACTGTGCCTTGTTAGAATTGAGATTGCATGGACGCTGCAGTTGTGAGGATGACAATTTTTTAGTGTAAATGGAATTTTGTTCCCCTTTTTTCTGTGGACCCGTGTCAAAGTCCGGAATCGTTTGGTTTGAGAATCTGGTTTGCTTATTGGCTTCATTATACATTTGTTATGATTAACAGACTGCTGTCATACAGCAAGTGAAATGACCCAAATATTTTACATTATGCCGTTATTCATCCAATTAGTACAGTATTTCATGCAAGTATGTGTAACAGATTTAAACAGTAGCATTAAACATCTCAGACTGTGAGGTTTTTGAACATACTAAATGTAGATATTTACATTTAAGCTATTTCTCACAACCATTGCACATTTGTCATAAAGGTGACTTATTCGATACACAGCAGACAAACTCATGCTCATGCTCATTTACTGCCTTCCCATTTCTCTTGTTTGATATTCTGGGGATATGGTGAAACATTTAATAATAACTCCACTCGGACATGATAGTGTTTAGTCAGTGTGTTTGTATTCTTTTGTCTTAATGTGCACTCTTGAAAATGTCCCTATTTTGTTCTTTTTTTCTTTTTTTTAAGAAAAAAAAAAAAATTTATTTTTGTTTTAAGATCCATCCAATGAAAATATTTATTTTGTTCACCCACTCTCAGGCATCCCAGAAAGATCAGAATAAGCGGTGCGGTCATTACTTCCAATCATGTAGTTGACACATTTAAATGTTATTTACAATTCAGGAAATGAATGAAAAAGAATGAGGAGTGGTGTGCTTTGCTCATGCTTTTAAAAGAAAAAAGCAACAAACACCCTATTAAAATTCAATGGAAGATTCAGGTTTTTATGTATAATTCATATCATTCTGTGCCAGATTGATCATTCACACAGGGCAAATATGTGGGAAAATTGTTTCTATGATTTAATTAGTTGCTGATACCATTACCAACAAAATCTTAATTAAATGTGGCTTGATGTTGATTGTCATGCTTGAATGTAAATGTCTGGGTGTGTTTGACTTTGAACAAATATGTCTAACTTTTCTATGTTTGTGCTGATGTTTATTTTTCTTTCTTTTTTATACAACAATGATTGTACATATCGAATTGTTGCCAACTATATGTAAATTACACAAGTGCAATTCCTTTCGAGAGTAAAAGAACTGCACAAATAAACCTGTTTATGCCCAGCAAACAGTATGTTGCTACGACGTCGTTAGTGTTTTGAATGGTGTGTAATTAAATGAGATGTAAATAAAGATGAAACTTTGTTCTGAATATTTCATGTGCTTTTCTTTAAAATGATCAGGTTTTAATGCAGTAATGCAGTATTTTTTATGGTACTGTAGCTATAGAGTTTCCAACTATAAAAAAGAGGAACATGGAAACTCATATTTACTAGGCTATTATCATAAGATTATTTTGTCATCCAATGTCAAAAGGAATTTGCTGTAGAATAGACAGGACATATAAATAAGTAGGATTAAGAATGAAAAACAATATACATCTAGATGTAGTAAGCAGAATATGATGATATATTTTATATATTATACGAGAAACGGCATATATTTAGACTTGTTTAATGCGCTTGTATTTTGAACTATATTTTCAAATAAAGATAAACGGGAATGCGTGCGATTCTCCTGCAAAGCGCGTGGTGGCGCTGTGACGACGGAGCGCAGCGCAGAATGTGTTGAAATGCTCTTGCTCTAGGCTCCGCCTCTGCCAGCACCACCGCGGATGACGTTCAACAACAAAGATGGCAGGAGGAAACAGCAACTATTGGGAAGGTGAGGTGGCAAAGCGTTACAAATGCCCCTTGACCAAAAGCTTTATTGGGCTTTGTGACAGCTCACGCGAATTCATAGTTCTGAAGAGTCTTTGGTAACGTTTTCATGGAAACGCAGCCAGGTTACCACACTATCTATCGCCGTTAGCATTAGCTCGCTAGAACGCAGAAACGTCAGTGCTTTTGATTAGCCTGAAAACCTGAGGAATACAGCGAGACATCTTTCATTCCTCTAAATCTAAACATTTGTCTGATGTCTTTGAGTTCATACAGACTTTCTGTACTTAATGTAGCACGAACTTATGTAATCTGTCAGAAAAGTTACAGAACTGTTTGTATATGAAACTGAAACAAGCTTTTTACACTAAAACTCAATAAACTGATAGGCTGTGTTTCAAAATCTAGTAAGCTGCCTTCCTAGACAGCACTGTTGGGCTTCATATTCTCGTTTTGAATGTTTGCCTGTGATACCTAAAACACATTACAGCAGTCAGACATTGTAGACAGTTAACAGACAATAAATGTAAAAAAGGACCAGGTAGACTGATATGAATCTTTTGTCATCTGTAATTCTACCAAATTACGTTGTCAGTGAAATGTTGTGTGCAATTCTATTGCATTTTCTAATATTATTTATTCTGTCATCTAGTGTATACGTAAGCTACCACTAACTCTGAAAGTAATGCAAGTGCATACTGATTGATGTGTGTTGTCATTTTATAGTCTTATATTTTATGAATATGAATGTATATTACCACTGACATCATTCACTGAATGTCATAATCTTTACATTTTTGCACATTGACAGACCTGCGGAAGCAGGCGAGGCAGCTGGAGAACGAACTGGACCTGAAGCTGGTGTCTTTCAGCAAGCTGTGCACTAGTTACAGCAGCTCTCGGGACGGTCGTAGAGGAGACAGGTGGGACGTTGCTGTAGTAGCTCATTCAAAGAATTGTGATGTTTTCTAGATATCATTATTATGAGGATGGTGGTGGTAATAACATCGTTCTATTCTCTCTGTTCCCAGTAGTTCGGATACAACACCTCTGCTCTGTAACTCCACTCAGGACAGAATGTTTGAGACCATGTCAGTGGAGATTGAGCAGCTACTTGCGAAAGTAAGAACTACTATGTAATACCACGTGCTAGTGTTAGGTACTATACACATTGCAATTTACAGTCTCCCTTACTGATCCTCATGTACATTAAACTGCTGATTGACGACAAGATTTTTTCGGTTGATACTGATATCAAGAGAGCAGGGTGCCAATATATATATATATACACTCACCGGCCACTTTATTAGGTACACCTGTCCAACTGCTCGTTAACACTTAATTTCTAAGCAGCCAATCACATGGCGGCAACTCAGTGCATTTAGGCATGTAGACATGGTCAAGACAATCTCCTGCAGTTCAAACCGAGCATCAGTATGGGGAAGAAAGTTGATTTGAGTGACTTTGAACGTGGCATGATTGTTGGTGCCAGAAGGGCTGGTCTGAGTATTTCAGAAACTGCTAATCTACTGGGATTTTCACGCACAACCATCTCTAGGGTTTACAGAGAATGGTCCGAAAAAGAAAAAACATCCAGTGAGCGGCAGTTCTGTGGGCGGAAATGCCTTGTTGATGCCAGAGGTCAGAGGAGAATGGCCAGACTGGTTCGAGCTGATAGAAGGGCAACAGTGACTGAAATAACCACTCGTTAACAACCGAGGTATGCAGCAAAGCATTTGTGAAGCCACAACACGCACAACCTTGAGGCGGATGGGCTACAACAGCAGAAGACTCCACCGGGTACCACTCATCTCCACTACAAATAGGAAAAAGAGGCTACAATTTGCAAGAGCTCACCAAAATTGAACAGTTGAAGACTGGAAAAATGTTGCCTGGTCTGATGAGTCTCGATTTCTGTTGAGACATTCAGATGTTAGAATCAGAATTTGGCGTAAACAGAATGAGAACATGGAACCATCATGCCTTGTTACCACTGTGCAGGCTGGTGGTGGTGGTGTAATGGTGTGGGGGATGTTTTCCTGGCACACTTTAGGCCCCTTAGTGCCAATTGGGCATCGTTTAAATGCCACAGCCTACCTGAGCTTTATTTCTGACCATGTCCATCCCTTTATGGCCACCATGTACCCATCCTCTGATGGCTACTTCCACCATGTCACAAAGCTCTAATCATTTCAAATTGGTTTCTTGAACATGACAATGAGTTCACTGTACTAAAATGGCCTCCACAGTCACCAGATCTCAACCCAATAGAGCATCTTTGGGATGTGGTGGAACGGGAGATTCGCATCATGGATGTGCAGCCGACAAATCTGCGGCAACTGTGTGATGCCATCATGTCAATATGGACCAAACTCCCTGAGGAATGCTTCCAGCACCTTGTTGAATCTATGCCACGAAGAATTGAGGCAGTTCTGAAGGCAAAAGGGGGTCCAACCCGTTACTAGCATGGGGTACCTAATAAAGTGGCCGGTGAGTGTATATATATATATATATATATACACACACACAATTCTGCTTAAAGGTGCTCTACGTAACTTTTAGTGGCCTCTAGTGGTGATGTTTCAGATTGCAACCAAATTTTACAAGAGCGCTCGTGCTCGAACTCATAGACAATACCGTCTATTACGCAAATATCTCGGCAAATACTTGACGGATTCGGCGAGCACCGAGCTCGTTGGGACCATCTAGTCGAGCTGAAAAGAACCATATAAGTTCCATAGTTTTTGGTGGTGTTTTCGCGGAGATATTAGCAGAAAACCATCGGCCGCGCTGCAAAATTGCAGACGCCGGTGACGTCACGATCTCAGAAGAAAATCGCTCGTATCTCTGGAACGCAAAGACCCAGAGAGCTCAAATTCGGGGGAGGAGGTCCCAGGGGAACCCTTGCCCGAACCCTAGAGTGGCGGGCCTCGGGGATGCCCCCTACCGGATCGTCGTTCGCTGGGACCCCCGATTTCGAACGGCTATAACTCGGGGAGCCGGGCGAGTTGGACCTCGGGGGTGGGCTCGTTCGAAAGGCCCCGTCCAGCACTACGAACGATTAGAGTCTTGGGAATATTGATCAAAGATTGACTGAGATATAAGCCGAAAAACGTGTGCCTTTAACCGGACGTAACTCCCTGACCGTCTACAATAGACTGTATATAAGGAGAGAGGCTCGGGAGCGCGCAT